GGGCCTTAATGATTAGAATGGGGTTCTGGGCTCCCTTCTCATCACTAATTTTATAGCAAGGAACCACCAACATAATAGTTGCACTTATTTTGGCTTCTATATTGTATTATAGCGTCTGCTTTAAGGGGCCCTTTTACAGTTGATTTAACATGATCACGGCTGAGTTGGCAATAGCGGGGGGTGCGACACATTCAAAACCCCAAACCTAAGCTTTAAACTCCAAACCCTGAAGCATCAGAATTCCGTCATTAAGCATGACAAATCTCACCTTCAGGCTTTCGGGTTTAGGTGTTTAGGGCTTAATGTTGAAAGGGATTAGGTTTAGGATTTTGGTTCCTACAATGACAAAAATGCCTCCCTAAACCCTAAACCCTAAACCCTAAACCCTAAACCCCACGAAGCTTCCACAAGGGACAGGTATCTGGGTAGCCGTATCGGGAGACGGAATGCTGTAACGGTTTAGGGTTTAGGGTTTAGGGTTTAGGGTTTAGGGTTTAGGGACAAAGCCCCAAAAAGCCCTCAAAGCCCTAAAGGCCATAAAACGCCTAAAAGCACCGAAACAATGACGGAAAACCTGAAAAAACTCTAAACCCTAAACCCTAAACCCTAAACCCAAAACCCTAAACCCAAAACCCAAAACCCAAAACCCTAAACCCTAAACCCTGTCTGAGGTGGATGCTGGGACTTCAGGAAAAGGGCGGAGCCCACGCATTTCACCTTCCCGGCCTTGGGCTCATGATCAGAGGCCAGGCTTTTGGAGGGGTTTAGGGTCGGGGGTTTAGGGTTTTAGGGGAGTTTAGAGCTTTGGGGTTTCAGGGATTTTCGGGTTTAGGGTTTTAGGGGAGTTTAGAGCTTTGGGGCTTAAGGATTTTTTGGGGTTTAGGGTTTTAGGTTTTTTTGGGGGGTCTAGGGTTTAGGGTCCAAGACGGCTTTGCCGATGTCTTGCAAGTAGGGACGCAGAAAGGAGACAGAGTCACGGAGAGAGAGAGAGAGAGACAGAGAGAGAGAGAGGTCATAGGACAGAAACAGAGGAGAGAGTCAGAGAGAGGAGAGAGAGCAGAGAGTGAAGCCCTGAGACTCGCAGGCTCATCATGGAGAACTTAACGTAGAATTTTGTGCAAATACATAAAACTACAATTGAACAGGAAAAACGAACTCCAACATGTCGATGAAAACAAAGACGAACTCCAACATTTCGATGAAAAGAAAAACGAACTCCAACATTTCGATTGGCAATTCTTTTCGGCCCCTAAAGTCCGTTGCTAAAGCAAAAAATGACCTCGGCCAACATAGATACGGCTGATGGACAAAATTCTGCATGACCCAAATATAGTATAGTACCATAAATCCCATAGTTTAGGTATATAAGGTCATGCAGGATTTTGTCCATCAACAGTAGGTCTGATAAGTCGATCAGCTCCAGTCTCACGAGGTCCCAAAAAACCCCAAACCCCTAAGTTAAGGCATCTGCCGTACTTTCCACTTAAAGGCGTCTTGCTATTATGGCTTAGGGTATATGTTCCTTAATAACTGAGGGATCTTACTGGTATCTTGTACTGTAGGCGCCTTGATACTATGATTTAAGTACCCTAAACCCTAAACCCTAAACCCCAAACCGTGATTTAAGGCGTATCCCTTCAGTAAGGGTCTCTGGGGTCCAGGCAGCCATGATGGCGATGCGGTCACCAAGCGTCTCCGCCTAGCACACTGTGCTTGGAGGGTATAGGCGGTTATCGGTTTAGGGTGTAGGGTTCCGGGTTTACGGTTTAGGGTTTAGGGTTTTGGTTATATCCTAAACCCTAAACCCTAAACTTTTGGTTCTTATGGGCCTTGGAGCTAAAGGGTTGCTTAGCCTGAGTGGGACTTCGGGCCGGTTTGGGTATGATGATTGTACTGTAGGGGCCAAAATAATGACCTAGACTATTGTGGAGGGTTCCTTATCATACTCATTATACTATAAAGGAGGCCAAAACCTTATCCTGATTATTCAGGCCCCTATATTACACTTTAAGTTATGCCCTAGGCCCTAGGCGCTAAGCTCTAAACATTTTACTCAGTATGCAGACTTCTGGCGAACTCTATATCTAAGCTGGGACTGCTACGATGGTGGCTCGTTTCGCGAATGTTCGGTTTTGGGGCTAAGGGGTTTGAGGTTGTTAAGGGTCTGAAAAGGCTTGGGGCTTCAGGTTTAAGCGTTGAGGACCTGCATTTGCTCTAAGACCCTAAACCAATACACCCTAAACCCCTAAACCCTAAACCCTAAACCCCTAAACCCTAAACCCTAAACCCTAGACCCCCAACCCCTAAACCCTCGTCGTATATGGAGCTTCACCGCACAGTCGTGTGACGAAGCAGCGAAGGGCCTCGTCCATGAAATGCGTGGTCCTGGGCAGTCGTAGCTAATGCAGGGGCTTAGGGTTTAGGGTT